TCTTTCAAATAATTCTAAGCAAAAATATGTCAGAGGCATAGTAGCTCTGATGCCTCTTTTCAGTCTATTGCACTTCAAATCACTGTAAGCTACAAACAATGGAATTCACATTTATTTTGAGCTACATTCTGTCTGCTGAGATGGAGACATGTGCTCACAGAGTGAGAGACACATATGTGATTTCTGAACTGTTGTAATTATATCTACCACTCCAAAGTTCAACACTGGCACTCCTGCGTATTAAGTCTCTCCTGTTGCCTCTTCTCTGCCATCTGTACCACAGGAAGCCATGCTCCATTGAGGACCTCTCTGAACTGTCTGGGGTTTCCTCTTCCATATGTTCATGGGATAAAGTCACACTCTCCAGTACCTCCGTTATAACATCCTCTAAGGGAGTAACATCTTGAAAGTCTGGTGATGATGGTTGTGTATCAGGTAATGTAGGATCTGGTGTTGAGCTTGAGGGTCCAAAATCTATTTCCAGTGATGTATCTGGAGATACTGAACTTGGTGGGGAAATTGTAACTGTGACTTGTGGAAAAAGGACCTCAGGTAATTGTGAGGCATCATCACAAGCATCAACATTTGGTAAAGGGGAGTTCTGAGAATCAAACTGGCATAGGGTGGATTCAACATCATCAACATTAAATGATGAGTCTACACTCAGGTTGAAAGGCTCTGGTTCAGGATCCATAAACACAGAGTCAAGGTCATCTTGATCCAGGGAGGTTAGCATGACAATGTCAAAGTGGACCAGATCAGCATGGTAAATTGGGGCATTATCCAATGGTTCTGGTAGAGGTGGCCACTCTGTGTCTTGGAATTCTGGTTCAGTGTTTGGTTGAGACTCTGCTGAACTAAAAGCAAAGACTGGGCCAGGTATAACTTGCTCTGAAGGGGTTTCAGAGTGAAAATCACTACTGGAGACGCTAGGCGAAATATTATTGCTGCTATCTGTTGGACTTACTGGGGGGTCTTCGTCAAAGTGCTCTGACACCACTATGGACGGACATTTGAGGACAGCCTCTGAAAAGTGAGGCATATCATCATGAGCATCCATTGATTTTGAATCAGAGTGTTTATTGAGAGGGTCTGATGTAGACTCTAGGGTTATTTTTGATTGTATCACTGTTGAATCAGAGGGATCATATTCCTCTGCTCCTGAAAGACACTGCAAAGACACTGTAGAGGGGTCTTGAGGAATGGGTTGTGGCTTGTCAACATTGACATTATCAGAAGATTCTTGATATGTTGTTACATCATAATCATGTTCTTCTGGTGGAGACACAGTAACTGTAGGAACAGCAAATGGTAGTTTTATCTCATCTCTTTCAGTTTGTTCTGTAACTTGGGATTTTCTGTCATCAGTGTGAGATTGTTTAGAATGTGAAATGGACTCATTAGTTGGGCCTCTATCTTTGAGTTGAGGAGTGAAAGGCATTTCTTGTTTCATTGATGATGACTCTGGAGAGCTTTCGAGAACTTTTTCTGATGAGAGTGATATTGTGTTTTGTGTCATTACTGCCTCATTTGTGAGAGTAGAAGATGAAGTTGCAATATCTTTGTCTGACTTAGATATGGAGGAAAGACTGGAATCATTTAACACTGGTTTAACTGCTCGACTACAGCAGGGAATTATTGGATCCAGAGAAAGAGGGATGGCACTCTCTACATACATGGACTGCGGACAAGCTAGAATGCTTGGATCCATTGAAAGCTGTTTAGGCAAATTTCGACGTGAACCTTTCTTTTCCTCCTCCTCTGGACAGTTGACAGCTGCATCTGCAGTGCTTTGTCTTACTAGGGCTTTGCTTTTGGCCTGAATCCCTACAGACACTTTAGATATCTGGGGATTTTTATCTCTTGCGCCCCCAGTACTTTTATTTGTGGGAGTGGTTGCATCTTCTCCCTTGCCAAGTCCTGTCCCCACTCTTGTTCCTGTCCCTGAACCAGTAGCAACTCCTTTGCTCAACGCTGCTCCGGCTCCTGTTGCCATTCCACCACCTTGAGGGGACCAAGTGTTGTAATGCTGTGTGAAAGTGTTGAAATTACTGTTGAAAGCACGAAGCTCCTTACATAGATCCCTTCTGAGCTCTGCCAATTCTCGTCGCATGGCGGAAACTTCTTCCTTCCATTGCATGCTGATAGCTGCAGCCAATGTAGCAGATTCTTTGATGCTGGCCTGGATAGCTTTTGGTGAAGGTCTTTCAGGGGCAGTGGATCTTGGGGATCTGAAAATGCTTGGAGAAACAGGTGGTCCAGACAATGGTTTTGCTGTAGCCCCAGCATTATCTTGATTGTAAAACCTGTCTCTTCTGATGGGGCAGCCTAGATCATCATGTGCCAGTGGGGCTGCATCTGCATCATCCAAATCCTCAGGTATACTGTCCTGGTCAGGTAAACAAGTTTCTTCCTGCACATAATTTTTGTCTGCAAGACAAATGTAAATATGTTTGTGTAATATGACCCCAGGTGTGAGCAGCTGAAGATATTGTGCTTTAGTTTATTACCATTATGTCATGCTGCAAATTTTATGAGTCAAAACAAGCCATATCTAAAATATCAAAAATGCAAACAATAATTTAAGAGAATTCTTCCAATTAGCTCCTCAGTGAAGTTGAAACTTGACATGAGCATATACTGTACAAGAAGACACAAAACCTTTTTTATTTTTTTGTTTAGGTGTTTAAGGTCAGTTGGCATTAAAAAAAAATATACATTTCCTTTGCTAAATGAAAAAAGAAATCAAAAAGGCATTTTCATAGGACTCTTTCTATTACTCTCTTTAAACGCATAGTCTTACATCTATTAAACTGCCTTTAAAGAATTAAAAAGAGCCATAGGAATGCTGCAATGCTTTTAAATGCTACAACCAAAGGCACACCTGTAAAGGTATTTTAAGACTCTACAACCACAATGCTTTTGTTTTAAAGAGAGAGCCACCCTTATAACTGAAACAAGTCCTCTATAATCATGGACTGAAATTCCCTGCAATAAGGAAGAAACAAAATCATAAAAAAGGCCATAAAAGACTTTAAAAGGCTATTAATGTTTTTATTCAGTTTTTTGATATTTTCTATGCTTCGAAAAAAAACAAAAAAACCCATATATTTTTGGCATACAATGACCGGTGTATCATTTGCAAAATAGGCGACATACGATTTTTGGTTGAGGTGACGCTTAGGTGTTTAATACTTTAGTCCCTCCCAGTGCACAAAAATATGACATTTGGAGGAAAGAATATTATGGTTATACTGAAGCAGAATCTCAAAATATTTCTCTTTCACACCTTAGAAGTGAGTACATTTGTGCAAAAAATTGATTATGGGGGTCATAAATCTAAAGATACTTTTAAGGTAGTCAAAAGAGAAGACTAAGTTACACCCATTACAGTAGGGGGAATGGGTAATTGTTACAATATTCTAACTAAATGAAGCTAATTCAATTTTTTTTTTTAAAGAATACCTAAAGCACTGGATCCCAGTTACACAGTTAAATTCTACTTAATACTTGGGAAATGTATCCAAACCTCTCTATTTTTTATTTTTTTTTTTACATTAATCTGGCATTTAGCAAATTGGGATCTTTTTGTTTCTTAAAACGGACCTAAAAAATGAAAGGTTTAGTCTCATAAAGCAAAAGGAAAATAGGTTTATGTGTCATTCTATACATTGTATGTTCATATCTGGTTTCATCTTTAGATCACTGAAGAAGGAATTTCCACTTTATAATTGACAGTCACTGAAACATGGGTAACATTATTAGCCACTCCTGTTTTAACCCATTTCAAGCATTAGGTTACACTGCCTTCTCAACCTTAATTTGTAGCATGCATTCTCCACAACTTTTATTGCACAAAGCGGATTTAGCTTTTTTACTTAAAAGTTCACCAAAGAAATAACTCTGTAATAGAAATAGCTTGAAGGAATAACTGTACTTCTCTTTAGCTTTGGATGGGAAAGAAACAATAAAAAAAACTTTGTGCAGTAAAAAGAGTGAAGGTGAGCAAAGCTTTCAACATTCTTTTATTAATCAGGAAAGTATAGCATGAACCCTATTGAAAAAGTGATATTCAATTAGAATAACTGAATTTAAGCTCCAATTGCTTTTAGATAAAAAAGCAGATGAATAAATTTAATGTTACTGCATTACAGATGCAATAATTTGAGTATTGAGAAAGCAGTGTAAGCAGACATTTATTTAACCATGAGCACACCTCCAGCTGTTCAGACCTCTAACTCTCCCTAAAACAACCCCAGCTTATGTTAGCTCTTTAAACTGCTAAAGTCGGCACCCGCATCCATCCATACTTCTTCTCTGAGCCGTTCTTTAAAAATTTTTCCACATATTCTTCATACTTTGAAAGCTTTTGTTTCCCCACCAGTAAATCCACCAGCCGTGAGAGAAGTTGAGAGTCAGCAAGTTATATCTCAGGCTCAAGTAAACAGCATTGATGTTTTTCACCAGAATTATTATCACTTTACACTTCTTCACACATTAACAAAGTTTAGACACGATAACTGCAACAGTTACTGTGCTACAGTCTTAACTTGGAATAGAATGTTTTGATTAATGCAATTGCACCGTTTGTTTGCCCAGTTTCGCATCTCCAATGTTTTCCTAATAAGCCTTTAAGCTTTATATGGGAATAAAAAAATAAAAAAAAACTGTTGAGTCCCTATTCTGACTTGATTTTGCTTTTAAAAATGTATGGGTTTCAATAGGGTTCATAGCTTTACTCTCCGATGCATTGAAATGATGAGCAAATCAAACACTGCATCCAAAACAACGGAAATTCACAAGCTCTAATTATAGTAATCTATGAAAAATGAAGCACAGAATGATTCATGCAGCACATGTTCAAACTACTTTGTGCTAACTGCTCTATAATCATCTATTATCACATATGTTTTTGTTTTCATTTGCTAGATCTTTTTTTTTTTTTTTTTAAAGGACCAGCTTTCATGATGCAACAACTGGATTTAAAATGCATTCCTCACCTGTGGTTGACCTGAGGGTAGAGGTAACAGTGGATGCCATCGGGGGTATGCAGTCATCATCTTGGGAGTATCCAGCCTGGATGGCTCTTAGGTAACTGTGGCTCCTGGTTCTGAAACAGCCAGGAAGGTCCAATGCATCCATGGCTTGGGATTCTACCTCACTAAACACCGACTCGCACACAGATTCAAACTGGCCATTTACTTCCGTTTCACTAACCTGAAGGAAATGAGAACCACAGTTAAAGGAGGCAAAGAGCTATAAAACATACAGAAAATAAAACAGTCAGCCTTCTCATTGATTTTCACAACAGATGATTCATTTTAAATGTGCTTTTCTGAAGCAGAAACAGCCCTGCAAATGCAACTATTTATGATAAAACCTGTGAAGGTAATATCTGGAACTCTAGTCTTGTTTCCTTAATATAAAACAATACATTTTAAATGGAAATGGATCTGTGACTTCTAACTAGCAATACAAAAAAGGATGTGGTGCAAAGATCATTTAAGCATAAAATGTGGGCGAGCTTTAAAGAAGTAAACACTGGTAGGGAGGACTAATTCTACTTCTGCGTTAAAAACACTTTCTGAGTCAAGATCATAAAAACATAGCAATTTGTTTGGAAACCCCAGACTTGAAGGAGTGGAAGAAAAATAGAGTGGGTATCACAGTTTAGCATTACTGCCGCTTTAAATAGGGACAGAGAGATTTTAAGAGCCATATTACTGCTTTTTAGATAAAAGCGTACAGGCAGAAAGTTTAGAGAAAACTGCTGAATCACAGTATGGGTCCATAATAAAATATATTTTTGTCATCAGCTGTCAGGGAAACTGGGAGTGTTTCCAACAGCTGGTATCTGAGTTAGGCTGTTTCAACACAGCAGGCTGGAAGGCGCTCTGTAATGACACCAGGGTTACTTAAAATCAAGTAAACAGAGAAGTTGGACAAATTCTGGTCATAACAAACAGCTGTGACTGAAAAAAAAGGATTTTGAAGCATAACAAAGTGTAACACGCAACAGAAATAATATGTTAGGTTTGATAAATACAAAACCTGTTGCAAAATTTTCTTAATGTTGACTGCAGCATCAGGGAGTATATAGTAGCATTTAATGATGAAATTCTATCAGCAACTGATCTAAAAATCAAATTGGTGCCTTTATGACGCTCTACCTTCTATTCCACGGGTTCCCAAATATTTCAGCCCACGACCCCCAAAGTAACGGTGCAAATGACTTGCAACCCCCAACGTAGATAAAAATTGCGCATCTATAGTGCATGCACGCAACCGCGCTCGCACTAGAGACGTATCCAAACACGAGCTAATTGATAACACAAAATAACACAAAAGCCATAACATTGTTCTACCGTAATTTACTCCTTATTTTAATTTGAACTTAACTTCACCTAATGAGATAGATGTGCAATATGTTTGGAGCAGCAAAGTCCAATCTTGGTTTATTGTTAGAGACCACTACTTGGACATCATCCTCCACATTCAATTGTGATCTGTATTTATTTTTAAGGTGCATCCGAGCCACTGGCGACCTGTCCAGGGTGTACCCCTCCTCTCGCCCATTGACTGCTGGAGAAAGGCACCAGCACCCCTCGCAACCCCACTCGGGACAAGCGTGTCAGATAATGGATGGATGGATGGGTATATCAGAGACGAGAAAGTCATTTCACCCAAGTAGGTAGTGCCGAACGGCATCAGCACATCAAAAGCCGCCCTGTATAGCTGTGGGTATTCCCTCTCAATTGAAATCCAAAACTCAGCCAGCGTTTTAGAATAAAATTCTGTTTTCAACGTTCGGTCTCTATTTCTAATCATGGGAGGGGCCCTGAATGGACCAGACCGAGTTACTACAGTGCAGCACTTAGTCGAAACAGGGAGCCACAGTGGTACGGAGCGACTGAACCCGACCCGGTCGGTATGCATGGTGCCGTCATTGTCCAGGCTACCATCACTGGGTCGGGTTCGGTCACTCCGTCCCCTGCTGGCTCCCTGTTTCGACTATGTGCTGTACTGTAGTCAACCAAAATCCCGGACGATTTTGAAATTCCCCAAGGACATTTTTCAGGTATAAAAAGTAGGACATATCCGGGAAAAAGAGGACGTCTGGTCCCCCTACCATATCAACAATTTGATGTTTCAGTCAGTGAGTGCTTGTTGCTCTGATGTGTCTTTGCTCAGCAGCTTCACTCGTTATAAACAAACCAATCAGTGCACATCTCAATATTCATGAGCATACCATAAAAGGGAGGGAACCTGTCATTACATTCTGAGGCTTATAACCAGGCTAGCATTAGGGCTCATGGAACAGCAAATATGCCATTTTCAGCCCAACCAATGTTACACACCCTTTTGAGAGACCTTAAGGACCATCACCAAATACCCTATAGAATAATTTGATGATCCCTTTAAAGATGAGATATATGTTAATTTTTAGTTTGCTCTGGTTTAAAAACTTTACATATAACTTTCAGCAAAACATTTTTTCTTTTAGGCCTACTTCATTTAAGGTACAGTAGTAGCCATTCAAAATGTCCCCACTTTCCTTGATGGGCCCTTGGCTGCTCCCCTAAGATTCCTTTTGAAACATCATTCTTTGTAATAAAATATTCTTTCTGTAATGATTTGTGGATATTAAGATCTAAAGAGAAGCACCTTTCTCCTGGTCAGACCCTGTAATTCGGTGAAAGGGTGGAGTAAGAGTAAAAAAATGCACACCCAGGAGAAGGAGGGGGGTCACTCCAGTGGCAGGAAGTTGGCTGCCATTCGGCTGCCGTTTGACTGGGAACGGCCATTTTGAATGGCAGCTACTGTAAGTATCACTGTTAAATCAATAAAAAAACACCATCTTCAATTTCTTTCACCTAAACCTTGCAGGCACATTACAGTGAGTCTGGTTCTCTGAATATAACAGACAATGAGAAATGAAATTCATTTATTCACTTATATTACTGGCCCTGATTTAACTCGGATGTTGTACAGATTAAAAACTGTTTGATATTCCCATCTGGTAATGCAAAGGTCCCTGAAGCTAAACATCTTGCTCCACTGAGATTTGGACTTAGAAGGGATTTGAGGCTTTTAGGACTTCAAAGAAATCAATAAGCCTCTTAAAAAAAGATGAATATCAGCATCCTGTTCAGTGTCTCAATTAATACAGATAAAGTAAAACAAACGGCCAGGTAAAATATGTGTTGCTAAGTTAAATCAGAAAAAAAAAAATTAACAACTAAATGCAGATTGTTAGATATATGCTGCTTTTTTCTATCTTCTGTTTTATGTGTGAAAAGAAGTGTCAACATATTCTTAAAATGTCAACAGTCTCTATTTGAAATAAATGTTTCAGAGTTTAAGGAGCACACTCACCTGGCTCACTTGGCTGACACAGCTAGCCTGACTAAGCGTGCTGACAGCCCGCATATAGCTCTGGTTCCGGGAGCGAAACTTGGGTGAGTTGTAATTGGTAGAGGGATCCAGAGCGAGGCTGGGGCGTATTTCCCTGGTGGCCTGCAAATGGTAGTTCTGACTATATGGGCAGAGAAAACGAGAAAAGGGCAATGAGTGTGTGTGTTTAAAAAAAAAAAAGGAACAAGTAAAGTGCAGTGTAGGTTATTTAATGGTGTTTATGTGTACCATAAGACAGATTCTGAGTGATATTTTGTCTCTCATCAGGGAAAGCCCTTCTTTCTGATACAGTAATGTGCTCACTGGTGTCCTTTGTAAGCCAGTTCGATTTCAGCTGTGCTGAAACATCCGATCAATGCTTGGAAATGAGGGAAATGCAAATCAGCAGCTAGTTAGCGAGCAATCACTTCAGAAAGAGCACCCTAGAGTCAGCCCTGTCAATGAAATGTTCTAGGTGAGAGATGCTCAAAAAGCCATTACTGGTTAGAAAACCGGATGGAGAGAATATGAGGAAGAAGGGAGCTTTATATGTAGGTAAACTGAAGAATATAGTGTGAGTCACTTTAAAGAAGTATGGTTTGGTCTATTTCTACAAGCAGGCAGTGATGATTAAGCTGTTCCTTGGCCTGTAACATAGATAAACACATGTTTGGAAGCAGGACATTATAAAGATGATTTGAAGACTTCAACCAAGAAACCAGAAATGCTAAGAAATGCTGTAACTAGCTGATACACCTTCTAGTACATATCTCTTTAAACTATTTTTTACAGCTTGACATGTTGCAACCTCTAACTTCTTTTTTTCTATTAGAATCTTTTTGACAGATGACAACAGATTAAGGTAGATTGAAAAGAGGAAGGAAAATTACGAGTTATCAGTTAAAATTATTTTACAATTTAAAATCTAAACACTTTTGCATGTATTGAGTCTCTCTGTGTGTTTTTAATCAGCTCAGAACATCCAGATACTGATAGTTCTTTTTTATGTAGAATAACCAAGCCAGACTGAGATAAGAGGTTAATAGGAAGAAAAACAGAGTGGAAATTGCTGTTTTTGTTGTAATATGAAAGTAAAATTATCTTGATCCACAGGTGTTCAGGTTTTGGATATACTTTGTGCTTGTGTTTTTATTGGAGATGTCTCACCATCTAAAGGTGTTATTTCTTTTTTTAAAAAGAGCTGTGCTATATCATTCTTTTCTTAGTTTTTGAATTTTTTCATTATTTGTGTTACCTGTGCTTTGTATATCGGAATTTATTTCTTTTAGCTCATTGGAAGCATGGTTAGTATTTTTTGTGCTTTTATAAATAAAACCCAGGCTAAACCTTTCCATGCATTTAAGCTTTATCCATCCATCCATCCATCCATCCATCCATCCATCCATCCATCCA